CTTGTAACTTTGTCATTTATAGATGAAATTAAAATCCAAATACGCCAAACGATAGAATATTACATTACGAACCTGCTGAAATATATATTTTTCAAATTTTTCTGTAATTAAACTTTTGAAAATGTACAAATGATAATTTTATCACTGTTTTCATAAAATAAGCCTCTTTCCCAAACCCAGTCATCATAAACGAATACCACTTGGTTGCACATCATTCTGCTTGAACCCAGTGCTGAGATTTGTCATTGTCATTGACAGACTTTTGCGCGATATTGACAAAATTGTTTTTCACATAGTCAATGATAGACTTGATCCTCAAAAAAATCTTTGTCAAAATCTCATTAATTTTTTCGTCAATGACAAAGATTCACCTGGTAACAGAAAGGGTAATTTCTTGCATTTTGAGACACATTATTGTTATCCAAGCTGTTCGTAGATGCTTGTTCACTTTAATGGCTCCATGTAATTGTTTTCCTCAAGCCATTTAATTTCATTTTAAATTTAGCTAATAAACAAATCAGCACATGTTCGACACTGACAAAAATGCCACTGACAATTGACATGGTTTGCCTTGACGATGACTGTTAGCTCAAACGAGTGACCAAAGCAGAATTTTGAGTATCACCGTGTATTGTCGAAATTGAGCAGCACTGCTTGAACCTAAGTCAGCGGCTAAAGGTGGATCACGGCGTGTCCACCACAATGAGGAATGAGACTTGAAAAAACGTGCATGTAAAACCCACTCCCCCTCCCCCATTAACATAACCCGAAAAAGACATGGACTTTGACGATCATTTTTTTCCGGGAAATAAATTTTAAGCAAATCACAATTATGTAAACACAATTAATTTTTTACATGCAGAGCCAACATTCTCAAAAAAAAATGCTTAACAGGAGATATACACTCGATGAATTACCAACAACTGACTGTAAAACATATCTGGTACCTCTATATATGCAATTATATTAACATCCAAAGTCCATCCTATTTTACATATTCTGCACAAAAGAAACTTTTTGCTCTACCCCATTCATAAAAACTGCGGGAAATCCTGTCAGGTGCGGTTGCACATCATTCTACTTGAACCTGAAAAGATATAAAAGAGCGCTGCTGTCGTGCTTTTGCTCATTGTCGCCTCGGACGGCGTGGCAGCAAGCAGGACCAAGTCAGTGGCTAAAGGTGGATCACGGCGTGACCACAATGAGGAATGCGACACAATGAGGAAAAGCAATGTATGTAAACCCCCTTCTCCCTTCACAACAACCTCCTTCCCCCTCTTCACAACAACTTCTCCTCCCCCCCTCAAAATAAGACATGGACTTGAGCGATCACTTTTTTTCCGAGAAATAAATTTTAAACAAACCACAATTATTAGTAAAAACATAAGTTTTTCCCTTAATTTCTTCCCGCACCAAAACTTTCAAATTTGAGAAAAAAAAATAAATTGCTTAAATGACATAACTGACTGTAAAACATATCTGGTACCTCTATATATGAAATTATATTAACATCCAAAGTCCATCCTTTTTTCTATATTCTGCACAAAAGTAACGTTCTCCCTCGCCCCCATTCATAATAAAACGGCGGGAGACCCTGTCAGTCGCGGGGCTTATAAAGTATGTTTTGTGCAGAATATGCAAAAAAGGAGGGACTTCGGATGTATTTTTTCTACAAAATATGTAAAAAAGGAGGGACGTCGGATGTTAACCTAAATGCATATATCATGCATCATAGATAGAGATAGATAGATAGGTTCTACCGAGGGGGACGACTCTATCTACGATGCAGGAAATATTGTGTTTTGATGTGGCTAGCTGCGCGTATGCTGAGTAGATAGAAAGAAGATTTATCACGATTTTGAAGATTTCCTGCAAAAAGATGATGCTCGATGCAAGTAGATGCGAGAAATGAAAGAAGATTTTTCGAAGATTTATTCTCTAGTGTGAGATTTTTTGAGCATCTAGAATTGAGATTTAGATGTGTCGCCCCCTCGGGTTCTACGTCATACTGCGGTCGTGTCTAGGACACAACCCTTTAATTTTTTTTTTAATTTCATACCTTTAACTGTTTGAAATAGTGTAGTGATCCAATAAACCCAACTAAGCATATACAGTGTACATATTTTGCAGAAAAAATGCTGATGCTACGTTTACAAAATATTCGTTTGACATTTTCGGGAGCTTGGATTGACAGTGATGATTGAAGCATATTAAAAGAAGAAACAGAAATATTTTTATTTCGATTTGTGGAACTTTAAAAGTAATAGTACTCTCAAGTATTCGAACAATTCAGGATGATGAATCTATCTTTCATATTAGTGTCAAAAGTTTTTGTAAATATTTATCAACGCACATACCCATGCACCGAATAATTTAAACCAAAAGTAAATTCTAGAGTTTTTCATCATTTTCTCCAAATTTGTGGATGAAACCAGAGCAAAAGTTCTGTTAAATATAATAATGTTGATGGAAATGACAATACATAATGATTAACAAGTTTTCCATTTTTAACCATTATTCACCAATTTAAATTTTATTTTCCATATAGCTAGTAAACAGTAGGCTGTGCAACTTTGTTGCCTTCAGAAGTGTTGTTTATTTTTTTATGATAAAAAAGGTAAGGGTTATGTCCAAAGCACGGCCGCATTGTTAACGTAGAACCTCGAGATTATTGTTTATGCTCTATTAACTAATATATAAATAATAAAATAAATGGTTTATAAACTCAACTCCAAAATGAACAATTCATTATTAAAATTGTGGAAATTGGACGGTTATTGAATAAATCCTTACATAAGGATGCATTATTTTTAATTTAGAAAATTAGTTACTTTATTATTCATAGTTAGATTCTATACATGTTCACCCAACTTTCGGAACATACTAATGTTAGTCATGGCAAAACAACTTAAGAAATCAAAGTGCATCCGACATCACAAATATTTGTGATGTTTAACTATGACAGACAAGCGTCTTTCAACTGCAACTTATTTAAGTTAACTAAAATTCATTTGTGCTCGAATAAAAATCTATAAAATAGCAAACGTTGTAATTGAATAAATGGAATGTCATTGTAGAACATGACATATTCTGCACAAAAACAACTTTCTAAGCACCGCCCCTGATAGTTTTTTCCGCTGTTTTTTTTTTTTTTTTTTTTTTTTTTTTTTAATAATGCGAGCATGAAGTATCTTTTGTGCAGAATATGTTAAAAAGAATGGGCTTCGGATGATAATCTAATTGTATATATGGAGGTACCAGACATGTTTTACAGTGTCAGATAAAATAAGTCACAAAAAGAATATCATTAAAATACACGGCATGTTCGTGCGCGAATTTTCTCAAAAATTTGAATGTTTTGGATCTCTGGGAAGTGGTAGTAAAGTGGGTAAAAAAGAACGGAATAAAACGTTTTTTTAGTGTATTGTAGTTAGTTTAACAATAATTTCCATGAAAAAGGTGAACGTGAAAGTCCATGCCTTTTTAGGTTGGTGAAAAATTGTCGGTCAATACCTCTGATTTATCCCAGGAAACACCTGCCTGGTATCATCTGGTCACAGCACCTGCGAGAATGTTCAGGCAGAGAGAGAGGGAGAAAATCCACCTCTTGTTCCTGCTTGCTGCTTGCCACGCCGTTCGAAGCGGAAATGAGCACAGGGACGTTAGCAGCACTGTTTTATGACTTTTCAGGTTCAAACAGAACGATGTGCAACCAAATGATACTCGATTATGGTGCCTGCGTTTGGGGAAAACGTTTATTTAATGAAAACAGTGATAAAATTATCATTTGTACATTTTCATTGGTTGTTTCATGGAAAATTTGAAAAATATTTATTTCAGCAGATATGTAAATTGATGTCCTATTGATTGGCGTATTTTGATTTTAATTTCATCTATAAATGACGCAGTTACAAACGTTCAAAACCTAACACTATTTCCCTATACTTTTTTTTATTTCATCCCAGTATAGTCCACAAAGACGTAGTTCTAAGTCAAAAATTGACTTAGGTACCATCTATGCGGATAAGTTTCGGACTTTCTGCTTCTTCTGTAAGCAAGTGGTTTTTGTTATGATAAGAAACTTCTACGAAGACACCCATGCTTCGAAAATGTTTTGTTCAAAAGTTATAAACATTGTTCAGCACAAAAAGCTCCTTGTTTTATGTATTAGTTTAGGAAAATATATTTTCGTTGATATTTAAAAATATTAAATGATATTTTCAAATATATCTCAGTTGTCTTGCCCCTTGCTTTCGACTCTTGCTGGCAGAAATAATAAATATTTTTGGTTGACAATAATGGACACAGTGACAACGTAATTACCTACACCCAGAGGGGGTAGTTCACAAATCGTACGCAATATACTCCATTTCATTGCGAAAAACGGATCATATAGGTAATACGACACATTTTGTGTGTGCGAAGTTTCAATTCAGACCACGATTAAGTGTATTTTAATTATTCCCAAAATTGTTTTCTATAATAATTAATTATCAAGATCTTTGTATGTTGAACCCATGTGCATACAAATCCTTAGCGTTGCAAAGGCTTCACGAGTGCTCTGCTCCGAACCGATTATATGTTGCAATGTATTTCAATTAGTATGGAGACCGACAGTTGGGACGAGAAAAACTTTCTTCCCAGACTAACTCCTAGGTTACCATTTACTGAACAATAGGTAGTTATGACTTTTCGATTCTAATTAAAATGGGAAATATGTAAAGGGAGCCATGCATGTGCTCTACCATGCTGTCCCGAGCAGTGTAGTAAATTTATCATAATTATAAGTTGTGTTTCTCATCCATTTCGCTCGCTGCCGGGTATAATTATTTTAAACGACAACCCCTGTAATTTTGCAGATTTACCATTGTAGCTACCTATATCAGGGACAACCTGCTGCTGATGGTGTACACCAGAGTTACAATCCCTTTGAGAAAAGTGAGAAGAAAACTTAAATCTCCACTCGCCCACCGCAGGCATTCGTTTTGTTGCAGACTTACCTCCTTTTACGTGCACTTCGCGACTTAAAATAGTACCGACTAAGTTTTTTAATTTACATCTGAAATAGAGACAGAGAGAGGGAGAGAGTGAACAAAAATTAAAAGTTATACCATTGAGGGATTCCTGTACAAAGTGAAATATTTTATCAATTTTAACTAACTTCAAGCTTCCCAGTGAAGTTTTCTAATTAATAAAATTAATTATTTTCTACCCCTGATGGAAAAGGTGTGATGAATATTGTCTGTCATTTATTTGAGTGCGAACAATTTGTTTGACCAGTTGAATTAAATTTTCCGTTGTTTAAAAAGAACCTAGCTGATAGTGACCAGATCCTACGATGAAACGCGATGATTAATGATACTTATGAAGCATATTGGACCATGTTTTGAGTTTCTTGAAATGATCATGTAAAAGATATTTGATTCAGCATGTTTAATTTATTTTTATTTTTTATCTATTTATATGTTTGGGGCATCAGTTAGCCTAATCAGTAAAGGCATGGTACATTTTGGGGTGGAAATTTTCTCGACATCCCTGGACATACAACATAGAAAATCATCGCGCTTGTCACACAATATACAAATTTATTCATTGCTTGGCATAGAAAGCACTACATTAAAAATTGTGAAAGTGCATCTAGAAGAAGTTGAGAGCCAGCAAAACGCTCGCTTCAGAAGCGAAAATAGCATAGAAAAAGAAGAAGGTATAATTTTTTTGGGCTATGCATTTTCAATACAAAATTGTATCTTTAAACCTAATGAAACTTGTTCAATAGTGAACGGATTTCTGCAAATTTTGAAATCTTTTAAGATCAAATTGATATTGAAGTTTGCTGTTTGTAAATATTTTAATGAAAACTCGTTTTGATTTCAACTATCGTGACATACGTCTGATCGCATAAAAGGCTTTCATTATGCAGTCAAGAGTTTATAAAATCAAATCTACATACTACATATCTATCTACAAATCCACATATCTTAATTTCAAGTTCTTTTGTTAATCCCAACAAACAATTTTGGCTGCTGACCAGCTTATACAAGCAAAAAAAGCTGTATAAGCTAAATTTTGCCTCCAGAGGCTAATTTTTCAGATCAGATGAAGTCTGCATCTGTTCAGACCCCAAGATCGGGACATGTTTATGGCATAAAGTTTTATTCGAAGAAGATCTTCTAACGAAACATTCAGTATAAAAATGAGAAACTAGGGTTAATGTCCCTAATGTTGGCCCAAGTGTCTCTTATATTGGGCCCATACATAAATTTCGATGGAATTTTTTTGACAATGTTTCCCTAGCCCGAAAATATCCATTTGTATTAACCAGATGACGAATTGTTAAAAAAAAATCGATGGCCCCATATTAAGATCAATAGGCCAACATTAGAACCTTTTCTTTATAAATAAGAGAACTACACTCTTAAATTTTATCGCCGAGATTCTAACAGGCGAGTAGTTCTGCAATTTATTTTGCTGAGATTCAGTAAAACAATTGCCGAGACTCAGCAAACAAATATGATTTTGCTGAGATATCAGCAAACAAATAGATATTTTGCAGAGATATCAGCAAAAGTAAATGCCGAGGTAATCGGCTGTTGGAGATTTTACAGAGCTAGATTAAGTGTGTACACAGTTAGTTTTTTCTACCGAGCTCGGCTGTGCAAATCTCGGCAACAAAAGTTTTACTGAGATCTCAGCAAACATTTCATTTGTTTGCTGAGATTCAGCTAAGCATTATCCGAGACTCAGCAATCAAATGTCACTTTTGCTGAGATATCAGTGAAACTTTTTTTGCCGAGATTTGCACAGCCGAGCTCGGTAGAAAAAAACTAAGTGTGTACAGCAATGAATATGAAAAAAAATATAGTGACAGTCACGGTTAATAATAAGTAGTAGAGAAGTAACTTATTATATGTTTGGTGTAGAACGCCTTAAACCAGGAGTTTGAGCTTATGATGTAAGAAAATGTATATGGCAAGAAATTGGATGATATATCCTAACCTTATCACTGTCAGAAAAGAAAAAAAAAACTGTTACATATTAACCTTGAGTAAGCCATGAATATTAGATTTCCGTTACACGTACCGTAACCAGGATCAATTTGGTCAGTGGTGTGTGATCACTGATATATCTCAATAGCTTTCAGCAAGTTCAATTTTTGTTTTTGTTGGGAGTAAGAATGGATCTTATTTCAACATTATACGACATAAATAGTAAGAGATATAAAAATTTATGGGCAACCTTAGTAATCAATATGACCTCATTTTACGGTTCTAATTGTTTCTGTCTAGAAATATGAATACAGGTATACCTCGATACCTGTCACTATTAATTAAATAATATCATCATCGATTTCTCGCAAACGAGAAGTTAATCAAGAATAGTTAAAACACCATTGAATAGATGAGACAATTCTCCATCTATTGGAACCATCTATTGGTTGATATGTATGATTTAATTGTTATTTGCAAGATATCGATTATGGAAGATTACTTCAGTGAAAGGGAAGAATCGGGCAAAACGGGAAATTATCTGTAGTCTGCCCCAGTCACATATTTTTAAAATAAGATACAGGAATGGAAAATCATTTACATTCATTTCGTGCATTCATTTACATTCATTTGCCTCTAACTTTTTTCATCAAAAGAATTCCGTAAAATAGCGCTTGAAGATTTTGTAGGCTTTGATATTAGCTACATCTTTTGTCAACAACTCAAACCAGTATCTCTTATGCATGATGAATCAGAACGATAAGAACCCACCCTTGTTTTTCAGTGAATGTAAATTGCATTTACTGAAAAACAATGGTATGTTCTGCCAGTTCTTGTTCGTCATGTATAAGAGATTCAGATTTTAATAATTAACAAAAGTTGTAGTTAATATTAAAAGCTACAAAAGCTTCATACATCATCTTACGGTATACTGTTGATGAAAAAAGTTAGAGGCAAATGAATGTAAATGAATGCACGAAATGAATGTAAATGATATTCCATCCCTGATAAGATGGTAAACGATGTGTCAATGTTACATGCGTAAATATGAATAACCGTACTACTACTTGATTTATCCAATTGAAGGCGAGAATCGGCAAAACGAGTAATTTGCTGATGTCTAGTCAAAATGAGACCATCATTTTTTAAATTCCTCAGTCATTTTTACAGAAGAATAGTGTCCAAACGGTATTGACAGGCTTCAATTCATATAGAAATATAGCATTTCATGTTGTCTTCAGTAAATGGGCAAAATTGGGCCAAACGGGAGTTTTACTGAAATTTTTGGAAGATGAGAACATCACCAGTAGATTCCTCAGTCATGTTTACAGTACACGAGGGTTTAGTATGACAGGCGCCAACGCGTATGACCATGTGATACTACTTATTAACTTCATAAATAGGGAAACGTCGCGCAAAATTGATTACATACCTCAGCTTACCCTTTGATGTCATCTAAAATTAAATGTTCAGATCCCTGAGATGTTTTTCTTCAGGATCGACCATCATTGGACATGTTTTCAAATCACTGACTACTGTCTTTTAAAAATACCTAAAATAAGTAATAGGGGCAACATTGATCAAACCGAAAATTCTGCATAGACTGGTGATGTATGAAACCATTTTCAATTAATACTCCAGATGTTTTTTTCTTCTCACAAGTGTGCCAATATTTCAGAACGTATCGCCACCACAATGAGGTATTTTTTGAGTCATTTATATAAAATTTAAAGAAATCTTGGTTAAATGATTCAAAACCCCCAACTTTCCTTATTCTGTACAGGATGAAACTATTTACATTCGACTTTTGAGACTTAAGAACGATTATATTTACCCCGTCTTACGGTACGCATGGAAAGGAAGTAATTTTTAGCAGAAATATTCTATTTTTTGTAAACAATCCGTTCGGAAAAAGAGCGGAAAGCGCGGGTTGTGCTTATCCGACTCCATCAACATGCTTAGGCATGATTCGATTGCAAAGGACATTGTCTCTATCGTGGTTGATCTAGCAAATTCAAGACGATTTGGCGAACTTAGAACATCTATAATCCATGAAAATCAATCGTAAGCGATGTGCATATTAGTGTTGGGAAAATATCAAAAGATCAAATCTCACCAATGAGCATAATCTCATTTGACAAAAATCAACAAGCAACTGTGATGCGGTAGCTCTGCAATAATGCTAACAAATATCACCAGCTACAATTATCACCAAACTGTTTGAGTTTCAAGATTTTTGTTGTTCACCCGAACACGAACCGAAATTTCAGTTCAGTCAGTGCTGGCAGCAGTAGCCTTGTGTCTGCCATCTGTGAATGGTAAAGAGATAGCAAACTTATCTTTCTAAGAAAACGATGTGCAACGGAATCATTTTTGTGATGAGTCAACTTGTAGCATATTGTGAATAGTCTAGCAATATCAAAGGAGCGTGTAAAATCAATATCATGCGTGATATTGGGAGCCTTTGAGAGTGAAAAAAAAATCCTGGTTAGACTATTTTACATCTAAGAACATTTCTCAGTTGGACTAGTGGTTCGAATGTGTTCGAGTGAGCTATACTAGGCATTTACCATTAAGGCATAAATAGAGAAAAAACCGAACTTTTGACAAATGTTCTGTCTGATGATACAACACGACAAACATATAAAAAAGGCTTGTTAAAAAGCATTTTTTTTTTCTTAAATATTGGCTGAATTTATAAAGTTGTGTACTATGAGCATGTTTATTTGAATTGACGTCATAAATATTTATAGGTAGTGAATTCATACTTTACTTTACTATACTTCACTCTACATTTTTTAAAATTTCAAACACATCAAAGTATTAGTTTTAAAGACTCCAATTAACTTCCATATGACCTACATTTTTTTTATAATCAGTTGTTTCAATAATTTTGTTGTAAGCTTTGGTTTCTAGATTGAAGAGACTATAAGCATTTCGCAGGTTCGTCTCTGAATTTGGTTGGAAGGTTTTTTAAATTAATTAAAAAGAAAATTGTAAATCTTTGCTCAGTGTATATTTTTAACTTGTTTTTAAATTAATTCTCTAAAATTCGTCCTCTGACTTTGGTACAATAAAAAAAATTTATAACCGTTTTTTGCCAAACCAAGTAATATTAGTAATTACGCTTGAGTCAACCAGGTCTAAATATCTGTGGTAGATGAATGCTTCTACCCATCTAAATCATAGACAAATATTCATCCAAATCAGAAAGATTTACTTCTGGTCATTAACTTACTTTGCAAGTTACTGTTCTGCCAATTATTTTTGATTTAAATATGCGGTAAAGACAGAACAATAAATTTTTGAATTTAAAGAATGAAAATATCAGAAAAATACTTTATGGTAATTTTAAAATAAGTTTAAAATAAGCTGCGAAATCTGAATCCGCATCATGATCTAATGCCGTGCGTAAGGTTTTGGAAAGTGCTCAAAAAAGTTTTTATTTCTACCTGTAGCATCCAAATAGCTAACGCTTATGTGGGTGAGGATATTTTCCGAAGTTCCACACCGTGTCATTCAAATACACACTTAGAAATGATTACCAACTTCGGTAATTTTTACCAAACTTTCAACAGCTGAACTGTTCGGTAAAAATCAGGCATTTTAATACATTAGTTTTAAAACTTCAAAACAAGGAAAACTTCACGGCAATTGCAAGACTCAATTATTCAAACAAGGCTGACAGGATTTTGAATTTTTAAATGAGGGTCAAAGCTGTATAAAGTTCGGTAAAAAAATACCGGAGTCGCTAATAATTTCTAATTGTGTAGGAGCTGTGAACCCAAATAATTTGGGCTCATTTTTCTATGCAGTACTTCCACCTTCGTTCGAGCGCAGCGCTACTGTATCTGTCATTTGGATTCTGCCAGAGTTACCAGTCTTCTTGATTTGAAGTCTTCGCTAAATATCAACTTTAGCTTAACATTAATTATTCCCGGAAACCGTAGATCAGCAAATTATTTCATTTACAAGTAATGACAGCATGACACAAAATACCACAAAGCACACGCCGTGTTTGAAGTGGTGGATTAATAAACTTTCATACCTACAGCAGTTTTTTTTCCTCCAAAAGTTAGGTTGGGTTCGTACATTCCTAAATTGGTTGGTTTAAACATATTATGCCGGGGAAAATTTTTGATCCATAGCAAGGTTTTGGCTCTTCTGACCCGCAGCCTATTATTTGAATGAACGAGGGACGGCTCCGGCGTAGTGGAAAACATCCGGTCACGCCAAAGACACGAGATCCAACCTTATCCCTGGTAAAGCCACGAATAACTCACGAGTGTTAAAGCGACTATAATAAAAGAAAATAGGAAACCGATTTAGGAATGTGAGGACCCAAACTATTTTTTTAAAAAAGAATATATATTTTTTCAACACTTGCAACTGAAAAGAACAATAAATAATTCAACAAGATTATTAAATCGGTTCATTATAGAAAATATGTGAAGAATGCATCAATTCGTTTAATTTGTAGTGCATTACTAGAAAATCGTCCCTCGGTAAGAAATTTTTGGGAAAAATAATAAAAATTCTTCACAGAGTAGTCGGAAGACACTATCAGCGAAAGAATAAAAAAAAAACTTCCAGGCATGTCTGAAGTATCTTTCAGATAAATTCGGAGCAAACTTCCGAACGCAGTAATGCTGTGTTTTTACTGTTTGGATGTTAGTTAGCCTGACTTGAAACATGCTGACGATTAGTCATTTTTAGTAGAACACATTTACGGTGGGACACGATCGAAGCCGATCGTTCTCATGCTTGCGTGAAATTCCAAAATGCTGAATAATGATTAAAGCACACACTGGAATAAAGATGCTTATTGCTGCTGAGTTGATTTTCCCTGGGTTGATCATCTCCTTTACCACTTACCCTCCCCAACAGGGGAGTTTGGTAAAGGAGATGATCAACCCGATTCGTGCCTTTCTCAAAATTGACCTTTGCTCGCTGTCGACACATAAGAGATGCACTACCCTTCGACTAAAAATCTCTTAAATAAAGATTTAAAAACAGCTATCTACACACTATATACAATTTTCACACTGCCGTACTATAACGGAACTATCAACTCTTTACTTTCATCCCCTCATCTATCGTATAAAATTACCATTTTAAGACTGCTATTTGATGTTAAGCATCTACAACCATACATTGTTGGTTAACCTCACATGCGAATGTTTGCAAAATATTACTGTATCAGTTGAAAATGATCTAAGCAGCGCTAAAAAAATGAACCATGATGTAAAAAATAGCTTTCAATATTTCAGCGTTTATATAAAGAGAATGCGTTTGTATGTATGAGAAATGGATGTGTAGAAATCAGTGGTGGCACGAGTCCTGGAGTTTAACATTTTTTCCTAAACATTTGATACTTTTTGCGATAACCATTGTGACGACACACAAAAACAAACTGGCAAGCGGCAAAAATGTCATGACATTTCTAAACTGTTTTCTGCCAGCGGCAGAACATTTTCGCACAAAGAAGCAGACAAGACCGGCGGCGCGCGCGACATAAATTTATGTCTTGTAGAATTTTGCTGATTTCTGGCTAATTACTGCATTTATTGCATGGAATTAAAAGATAAGAATGAAGACTGACCACTCATAAGCATTGATGTTAAAATTATGCGTGAATAAGGGAGTTGGTAATTTACTGTCACACGCAAGCCTGCAGCTAAAATTTCATTACAATAGACTGTTTGGAAAAATCAGGCTGCGAGATTTTATTTATTCTCTATCTCCGCTGTTCGCTTGGAATGTAGTTATAAACGGCCACCCGTGTGCTGGCTGTTTTGTTTCGCTCTGGACGATGGTTTTTCAAAAAATGTACTGTTGCCACCTCTGGTAGAAATAATGAACAAATTTCACTGTTTCTCCAAAAATGTATGGCTAGCGTCACTTTGTATGTATGCCTCAAAAACCAAATTTCGTACAAGTGTGGAGTGTTTCTGGGTGTCATTTAGTATGCAGATTTCGACTATGATAAAAAGTGAAAATTGAACATGATGGCGCTTACGTCACTTTGTCATCTAACGGCAGAATTGTCAAAGAAGAAAAAATAATTTGACAAACTTCTCTGCAAACATCTACTACACTTGGACATCAATTCACGTCGATTCACATTCTTTTTCCTATTTAAATCTCTGGCTCAGTGGCTCAGGCTAAAGTGTGTTGATTGATACATTTGTTGACTATGCTGAAACATTCAACTACATTGAAGACAGCCTGATTAAGACTGATCTATTAACCACCTATTTCTAATCTGGCTGCCTGTTGTTTTGTTTTGCCGCAGCTAATGAAATAATTTATCTTGGGAATTTTAATTAAAATCTTGAAGATTCAACCAAAAAAGACAACAAATCACACCAAAGGCAGACTAAACAAAAAGGATGGTGATGAAACTACACTCTTCTTCTTTGCCGCGCTCTTGCTCAGGGGGTGGGTAAAGAAAAATGCCCAGAGGATTACAAAACTGCCGGAATACTTTAGAACAGTGAGTGGATGGCTAGATTCTACGGCAACCGATTCTCTGTTTGGAGCGAACAGTCTGACACTGACTTGAAAAGGCGGATAACGCTAATGATGCCGAGCCATGCATCGAAGGGCGAATAGATATTTTATGCTCGGTCGGTATTGAAGGAAGGAGAAGATATCTGTGGGTAAAGCAAGTTTTTTTTTATCATTTTCTACAGAACCCCATTATCATTTGGATCCTTTTGTAATTCTGAACAAAACGTATTCTTTGTTGGGGCAGAGTTAGTAGAAAAAGAATGGAATAGAAATACGGCACCGTCAAAGGATTCCAGTTCTTTTCCAACTGGGAAGGATACAACTTACCTATACACTGTGGAGTGAATCTCGTGACGAAATTTGTCCGCCGAGAAGGGGTAAAAAATCAGACTTCCGTTCGGTGACGAGTACACCAGCTCGTGGTTAGTTGTCGCTACCGACCATTCCACCTGAAATGAGAAACAAAAATAATGCATTAATATACGAATTCAAGCAACCAAAGATCGATACGTTCCAATATACAAAACTTGTCAGCAGAAGTTATCTGAAAGTTTTATGCATTGGTGATTGCGTAAAACAGCTTGTTTTTTTCAACCAGTTTCCAAATTTATTTTATAGATTCGCGCCGAACCCACCATTCCGGTACTACAAATGAGTGCTATATAAATGTAGTTGTACTGCAAATAAGTAGACTAAAAATTATATATGTTAGTAGTAGTAGCAAATTAGGTTAAGAGTTAACTGAATTATTAGTGATAAATTATTCCAAATCGAGCTATCAAAAAAACCACACCTAAAGTGTATTTCAAGTTAATACTTAATAAATCCAAATCCAAGGTTGCAAAGTGTTTCCTTTAAAAAAAAGAAGTGACTCCTAGTGGCGGTTAGTCGCAAATCTAAAAGTTCGGTGCAAGAATCAACTGGAGTGTTAGCCGATGCTCACACCCTCACTCAGCATAGTTACAGTGCATATTTGATTTTCCCGCCGGTTAAATTTTTAACGGAAATCATGAACCTGCACAACACAGCTTTATCCATCGTTAAAGTGCCATGACCGTGAGGCTGATATGGGAGAAGGAAGTCTGACTACTGGCTAATTTGATGGACTCATTTGCCTTTTATTGGCACAAACGTTTTGGATACAAACTGGAGTACGCCAATTAAGGCTCCACCGGAACCAAAAAAGCTGAACGTGAATAAAATTAAAAAACCATGACTGTCATTCTAACCATATCTAGTCTATTCTTGCCCACTCATTCTAAAGAAACTGACTAGAGAAAATTAATGAAAGTTTGAATATTTTGATTTCATTATATTCCATATTCTTTACCATAAGTATTCATCGATTATTAATTCGTCAAGCATATTCGCAATAAATTATGAGGAACTGACCAATTTCTTTTTTTTTTCTCGATTTGTTTTACATCGATCTTGTTTTCCGTGCTGAGTACCAATGCTCCCACACCTGGACCCTACCTATCGACACATCAACTCATGAACTGGGGACCAAAGGATTTACTTCCCTTCCGAAGGCGAAGGCATGATCAAAGATGTTATGCCTCAGAACATCCCGGCAGCGCCGACTGGGATTGAACCCAGGCCTGCAGGAGTGAGAGGCAATCACGCTTACCACTACACCACCGGCGCCGCTACCTGGTCTACGATTCAAAGTTGGATTTTGTGATGATAAGTATCACATAAAAGGTAAAATAGGTAACATCATCTTCATCGAAATGTAAGTATTATTGACAATAATCATAACATAGCGTATCGATAAGTGTCAGTCATTATAGATTACAATTTCATAACATAAACATTTAAATACATACATAAAAGGGAAGGGAGGGTCCAGCAGGGCACGTTATTGAATAGATTTGGACGGGAGGAGTGGGAATCAGCATTGCCAGATTGTTTTAAAGCTTATCGGTATCAAAGGTATTAAAAAATCGGTATTTATCGGTATTTACTATTAAATTAATTTTATATTTTTGCCGTTTTTGAAAGTGAAAATTTTTACGGTGGTGACGACTAGGACTTGAGGAGAATTCTTTTATTTAATGAATTTCTCAGTATTAAAACACTCAATATATTTTTTTTAATTTAATTTTTTAAATCATCGTTGTCCTCAAGTGGTGATCAAAATTGTGACCAAGTAGTGTTTTTTTTTTTTTAATTAAATATCATTAAATGAAACCAAAATATGAAAAATCATCCACAACAACGACTTAATTATTGACAATAACGTCAATCAATATTTTCTCTTGAAAAAAACCACAACCTATGGCCGAAATGTCGGGCAGATTACATCGTAGTCGTTGCAGTGTTTTAAGACTGAGAAAGCCGTTAATCAAAGCAAAATTTTTCCTTTTGTACTATGATCGGAAAATTCCGGAAGAAAACTCCGGGAAATGTTTGAATTAGCATCTGAATGGAGCTGAAAAACACATCCAGTAAAGTTCGAAAGAAGCTCTCCTGGATGAAGTTCGAGAAAACTGGAAAAACTTCCGGGAAACTTCCGAGACACGAATTGAGAAACTTGTAGCGAAAATTTAAATAAACTATCGGAAAAAAAAATTGGATGTCACATCCAACGGAAGCCAGAAAAGTTTTGAAAACCAGAAGTTAATTTCCAGAAGTAACTATTACAAGGGAAAGCCAGAAGAAGCTCGGAAAAACCTTCCAATAGAAGTCGAACAAAAAAACCTTCGGCTTATGGTCAAACTTCCAGAAAAAGACGAATGAAATTTCTGGGAGAATTAATTGAACTTCCTTGAGAAGACGAAATAAATTTTCTGAAGACGCTTGCAGAAACTTCCTAAGGTAGATTGGAAGAAACATCTGAAGATAGTCGGAAGCCAGAGCGCTTACGGAACAGTCGAAAGAAACAAGTACATAATTCCGGAAGAAAGAGATTCCTGGAGGATGTTCTAATGATCTAGAAAATTTTCCTGATATTCAAAAAACATCCCTAAAGACTCCGAAATTTCCCTGAAGTTTTCGGAACAATCCTGAAATGCACTTAGGAATATTCTATAATTCCTTGAAGTTCCCTAAAAGTTCTTGTAATTTTCCTGAAATAAGGGGCTGTTTTGGAGTTCTCTGGTCACCCTCGAAGCGCTCGGAACTTCTCTGATTACAATAAGACTACCAGAATATCTCTAATAATCTTAGAAGGTCTTAGAGTCTAGACTTTCTTGACGATTATGAAATATCTTAAGTGCTCTCACAATTTTCTTGAATTTATTGTAACATCAACATTCTCGATTTTTTTTAATTTGAAAAAAAATATCGACACTGCTATTAAAAAGCAAAGAACTTCCCATAAAATGTTCTCACAATGATCTAATGTTCATGTAACTTCCCTTACGTTTCCTAAATTTGCATGGACATTGCTGAAGTTTTCGGAAATTGCCTGAGTTTCTTGGAGCTCCTTTATAATTTCAGCATTTTCATTGAAATTAATTGATCTGTCCTGATGTTCTCTGAGCTTTACTAAAGTTCCTGAAAACCATTAAATTTCCCTGAAGTTCTTTGGACTCGTGAAGTTTCCAAAATATTTATGATGTTTCCTTAAGTTCACTGGAGTTCACTGGACTTTTCTGAAATCTCCGGGTTTTCGAATTTTAGCAGAAGTTAATGAAACTGTCTTTAATTTATCGAAACTTACGCAAAAGTCTGGACTTATCTGAAGTTTCAGAACTTCTTAAATGTGCCTGCAGCTAGTGTGGATCAGCAATAAAAATCTGATTTCATCCTTGAAGCTCCGGGAATGTTAAAAAAACTGGCGGGAGAAGATGAAGAAACTTCTAAGGTAAGGTGGAAGAAAATTCCAGGGAAAGTTGGATGAAACTTGAGGAAGTTTAAAAATGAATAAAAACTTCCGGAAGTTAAATAATGCTTGAAATATATACATCTCGATTCCCTAGGAATTACCGGAAAGAGCCATCGACTACATATTTCTCGATTGATGGGTAGCCAAAAACGGTGAGGAAATGCAAACATTAGTCGAAAGAGTATCAAGCATAAGGCATCTTTAGAGATGATTGTTTAGAATTTTGAAAGCTCAAAAAACATGAGGTATTCAAAAAGATAAAGTCTCTCATAAAAACTTTCTCCGAAATTCGAGTGCGGGCAGGTAATAATAAATTTGATTATTTAAAAATAAAAATCGGTATAAATCGGTATAAAATCTCAAAAATCGGTATTCTGAGGAACCTTATCTGTATATCGGTATCTAGTTTGGAAATCGGTATAAATACCGATAAATCGGTATATCTGGCAACGCTGGTGGGAATGCCAACTCCCTGTTGATAACATTTCGTGGATAAAGGGCGGGCTCTTCTCCTCACTCATTGGGGCATATTCCTGTTTGTGGTCTCGTATTTTTGACCAATTGTGCGATCATGTTGTTGGAAGGAGATTCTTTATGGTACCGTATATGCGATTTTGCCTATCGATCCATCCAATTCGTGTTTGGCCATTCATATAGCGAGATGTTGAGGACAATCAAATCAGAGGTTATTAGCTTGATCAAAACAAGTAGAGAAGAGAGCCCACTGCTAACGGACTTAGTTTCCGTGCTACAATGAGTGGTAACCCATCATCATCATCATCATCATCATCATCATCATCATCATCATCATCATCATCATCATCATCATCATCATCATCAAGCATGAAACATTTCTTGACTGAATTTCAGTAGGTCTTGTGTAGCAAATAATAGAATTAATTAAACTACAAAGTCCAGGATTGATTTTTATGATTTACAGAATCAAACAGTAAACAAGTATTATGAGTCTTTGAATTTTTGCACTTCTGGTTTTGACATTGGTGAATTTCAGACCAGACACACATCAAATCATAAACTAGGATTTAATGCTTTAAAGATTCTGGAACTAGAATTTGTTTTAGTGATCGAAAAAGAGATTTTTTTTCCTGTGTCCAAATTGTAGAAAAAAACTATGTATATTAAGCAATTAGTTTATAATTAAGTCACTTTAACACTCTCGATTCATCGTGAATCATTCGAGGATTGTATTTTAAATTGTGACCTGGCCGTGAGAGGTATGGATATTTCCCACTAAACTGAGGCCATCCTTACACACACAAATAAAGCTATGTCCATTTAGAATCCGGAATAATAAAATCATCTGTATCTTGGTAACGGATTGACATACAAATAAGGTTAATACATCAAAACAAAGGTAATTCACTGTACTTTCTCTTCGTTTCTAATGAAAATTCGCACTTTCTTCTTTATTCCTCCCATCAAACGCTGCACACCTCCGAAGTCAACTTCCTTGGCACATTTGTTCCACATTTTGGTCATCTGAATCGCGTCCTGAACCGTTTTTCCACTTTTCTTAAGCTTCCGCTTCATTATTGCCCACAATTTCTCGATGGGCCGAACTTGCGGGCAATTGGGTGGATTTATGTATTTATCGAT